CTCGTCCTATACTTGCACTGTTGTATATTTTCAGTTTATATTGATGAGTAGATCAATACAATAACTAGAACACGCGGTTGAATAAGTTCCTATGAAAATGGCAATAAAGTCAATCTAAGCCTAAGATTGTACAAGATCAATCTTAGATTTGATTTTTTTTTGTTTTTAAATCAACACTTTCCAATAACTTTCTATCCTGGAAAATTCTGGATCAGCACTAACGTTTCACAGTTTAACAAAAGAGATGTCTGGACATCACTAGAAGTGTCCCTTCCACTTCCACCCTTTACAACATCAGCGTACCTGCTCCTCAGATCTCCCTGCGCTAAACACAAGGAGAGTGGCAATGTGGCTCTACCATTCCTACACACACCCCACAGCCCCTTCAGGCACAGGCAGAGGAAACGGAGCTGTGGCCTGAGCAGCAGAGACAGTGGGAACACAGCCACAAGAGAAGCTGTGGCGTAGGGGAGGACCCAGAAGGTCGCAGGACTCGGTGAGGAGTGTTCAGGCTGACCAGGGCGGCCTCCCTCTTGCATGGGTGAGGGCTGTAACCGTCTGGGCTGACCTTCTGCAGCTAGGCTTAGACCACAACTGACTCCTGTGAGTGAAACATTGCTTTGCTGTGCTGCAACCCTGTTCTCACTCCATTTCATGGCACCGGCTGTGGCTGCACATCCCAGCGGCTTCACAAGTCTCCCAGGTTTTGAAGGGAATTGCTCCCTTCTCCCAAAGTGCTGCCAGCCTCTTGTAGAGCCCTGGTCCTGAGCTAGGAGTGCAGATTACCTTGGTACCACCTCAGCTCTTACACAGGCCCCTGTGTGCATCATGGGGAGCTGTCTGCAATGGCCAAACACAACCCCAGGGAGAGGGCAGCAGGTGAATTCCCAGAGAAACTTCATAAGCAATACGGAAACTTACCCTGTGCTGCAAGGAGGTTTCCAGCCAGAGCCCCACAGTGATTGCAAGTCTCCGCAATAACAGACGGACACAGACATAGTTTTCTTTTGCAAGACAAAAAGGGAAGTTTAAACGAAACAGTCCAGAAATACCCACGTCCACTGAGCATCTGGAGCTCCTCCGTTCATCTTCTGCCTCCTGGAGGGGGAGTGGGACAGGCCTCTTCTCTGCAAAGAACCAACCTCTTTGGCCAAGCCGCAGGAGTAGCTCCGTGGCCAGCTCTCCAGTCAGCCAGGACATGCATGCAGGGTTGCTGCTTATGCAGCTCCCATGCCCGTTCTCCATAAAGCACAGACCTGATGGGATGAAACAACATGAAATTTTGCCTCAGTTCTCTTTCTGTGCATTAGAAATAACTCCCTAGATTAAAATATCGGGCTTCAACTGACACCTGATGCCACTGTACTTACTACATGGGCAGTTGATAAAGGGATGTCTGTCCTTGACTTGCCTGTTGTAGATGATAATCTCCCATGCTAACTTGATGATTTAAATACAGTAAGGAGTTAGTATCACTATTACTAATACCTTGCCAATTTGTTTTTACTTGAACTGTCACACAATTAGCAGCTGTGTCTTTCTGTTTATTTTAAATAACATTTATTAAAAGACTCTCTTATCATTCCTTTCATTTGGTCTCACTGGTGTCCTCTGTACTTGTCTGCTGTCACTCTACTGCCTGTCACCACTTTGCTTTTGCTTTGCAAAGGCAAAGGAGTTTAAATAACCCTGAGCACTGAATGATTTCGGACTGCAGCTGAGGAGTAATTCAGGCTGGAAAGCAGAAGGTTAACAAGCTGCCCTCTTCCTAGCAGGGGGGCTTAGCTCCACCTAGGCTTGGAACTCTCAAAATTGATCCCAGCTATTTGGCTTTAGAGATGATGATGCTGATCTGAGATTTCTTCCCTTACAGCAATTCATTCAATTGAATCTAGGTTGCAGATGAATAGATACCTGTTATCCTGCAGGGCTCTCAGCCACATCCCACTCTAGCAGGGTACAAGCCTCACTTTCCTCAGCATGCTGCATGATTTCTCCATGTTTCTGTCTCAGATGCATCTTTTACCATGAATGTAAGAGAACAGAGTAGCTCATACCTTCTGCTTGTGCGGAGAAGTAAATCGTCGTGTTCCAGTATGTCCTGGCCTCTTCCCTTTCCAGCTTTGCTGGACCTTTTTGGATAAGCAAAGGTTACAGAATGAATCTCACAGTCAAAAAAAAGGTATTATTGCATTCAAAAGTAACCTTTTCCACAGGCTGAGCTGCAGCACGGGCCTCAGTTTCACACTGCCATGCTCTGGAGGACTTTCCTAGAGACACTGTGGGGACAGCATTCATTGCCAGCGCATACCTGGGCTTTTCCCAACTGTCCCTTCAAACCATGGGATGCAATGCCCCGGACAGGATGAGATGCTCCGTCTGTCACCAGGTGACAGGCTCAGCAGTGGTGACAGGCTGACAAGGAGAATATGTCACAGCAGTAACTAAGACTTCAAACAACCACTGAAGCAGACCTGAAGCCGAAGAAAGGATGAAAAGCATACGCACGTGCTGGTAAGCCAGAGCACACTGTACCCAGCGGCACTGGGTGCATTCAGATCTTGTGAGAGGTGCTGAACAGGCAGCTTCAACGCCTTTTCCTTGCAGGGACAGCAGCAAGTCAGGGTTGGTGTTTTCCATTGGGAAGTGCTGTCTCTTCTGGGCAGGCTGGTACCTTGGTGGCCAAGGGGGCCAGCCCAGAGGACTGTCCTGCTGGGCACCGCGGCCTGTTGAGGCACCAGAGTGAGAACAATGCCAGGGTTCACACAGACATCTTTATTTTCACATTTCTGCACGTATGCAAGGGAATGTTCTTTCTCCTGGGATGGGATGGCAGACATTCCCTACAGAACGGAGCTCAGCAAATGTTATATATATATATATATATAGTGTTCTTCTGCATTTCTCCATGTGTCAGAATGGATGTTTACAACAAGCAGTTCTAAAGGGACACTGTGAGGTTTTACTTTTTTCTCTCTAGTATAAAACAGGGTTTGCATTTTTCTTCAATTCAATCGCCTGCTCTCCTGGTTATACCTAACCGTAAATGCTGAAAAGCTTGTAAGCGTTCAATATTTATTACTCCAAGATACTATCAGTGATGCAGGTAGAACATTTCTGAACTCTTGTTTCCACCAGGGCCAGACTACCAGGTGTATATCAGTGCACCAAACAGAAGAGCACCTCTGAACCAGTGACACAAATAAATCATTAGTGTGTAAATGTTATACTCACAGCACGGTTCAGCAGTTTAAGAGCCTCTGTGAAGACAGATATGGGTTTATAAGAGACCTGCTTTTAGGTTTCACTGTAGATTTTAAACCTGACAGTGTCCCTTCAGAAAAAAGTACATAATTGGGCTCAAGAAAGGACACCCTCCTACAGGCATTTTCTTTTTATTATTAAAAACCAATGGTTTAAAAACCATTCAACAGAATTTAATACAAATTGCCATTGGAGAATAGCATTTGTAAGAGTGAAGCTATACATTGCTGCTCCGTTAACATGGCTTTAGTTATCACAATAATATATTTGCACATTGTCTTAGGTCTTCCATGGCAGCTCCACGAAGAAGAAGAGGTTCTTACACTGCTGTTATCATCTTATCAGAGCTCACACATGGACACAAAGGTGTTTGCTCTCAACATGTGTTGCAGTCAGGCAGTGCCAAAGCTCTGCCCATCATGCTTGAACCTCAGGATTTCAGTACCCCAGGTTTATAGTTTGACTTGTGATTACTCACAATATTGCAATGTATTCCAAGTAACAGGAAAACAAACATCAACAGTAACAGGCATTATTTTTGCATTATTAATCACATCCCTAGTTTTCAACAGATTGTTGCCTAAAACGTGTGTTAGAAAGGCTCTTTTTTTGTAACTAATGAAACTGTCAGACTAATGACTCAGACATTATTTAAACATTCACAGCTTTAAGGACATTTGCACAGCTGATAACACTGACACACAGTCTAACTGTAACTTAGAAGCCAGCATAGTAACTACCTTCCACACGCTGGCAGTAGGTTGTATGATGGCGTGAGATTAGAACAGCATACTATGTTTTATTCAGAAAGCCATCGTAGTATTTGCCATAAATATTGCAAGCCCCATTTAGGAGCGATGGGAGGCTTTGCAAGTTTACAAAGTAACGTTACAGAAAACACAAAAAACAAACCCCAAAACATTTCCGTGCAGGGAACAGCTCTCTCACAGTCACTGGATCTCTGTCATCTGCTGGCTGGAGCACAGATGCTATAGACGCATGTGCGGTGCCTGGAAAACCTGGAGGCCTGCTCTGCACTAGTGCATACCAGCTTCTGGCCAGTATCAGTGGGATCAGAGCCAAACACAGGATAAAAACAGTGTCACAAAGGCAGCGACTCTGCCACAGGCAGAATTTACAGTCAGAGCTCTGTGAAAATGAAACTACCGTGTGTCACTTTGCAAACCCTCCTACCTCAGCTACAACGGACTTGGGAGGTAGCAACAACAGGCTGAACGTCAGGAATGTACAGGTGGGGTCTGGAGTCCTGTGAGACCAAAACCAAACTTAGTTACGCCTCAGGGACACAACCAGCACCAGTGTGACCCTCTCTGCCCAATGCACCCCTGTTGTTACTGGGAGTAACACAGCAGGGCTGAAAAGGAGATGCCAAAACTGCAGGGTCACTCCTGGCAGCCTGATGTCAGCAACGCACTTGAGCACGCGCTGAGAGGAACACGCACGTGTTTGAAGTGTGTTTATAAACTGGAGCCACACTCAACAAACCGCAGTTACAGCCCCTATGACACAGGCACCCCTGCACCACCCAAATAGCACTTCTGCTAGCGGAGACACACAAAAACAGAGCTGAGGCCAAATTCACTGCAGCAAGTTAGCTCTGGGGACCTTCGTAGCATGCAACTAATAACGTTTGCTCTTGAAAAGGCACACTGACAGCTTTCCAGGCTGTATGTGCCGTCTCCTGACAAACATGGAACAACTGCGTACCTTTATTTTTAGCGCTTCCCCTCACCTGAAGTCAGCTGCTTAGGCTGCGAACATACAGATGCTCTTTAGGTGTGGGGGTAAAAGTCATTGTTTTAAATTCTGCCATCTGCTAAAGCGATTGCAAGAAGAACCAAGAAGGAACATTGTGCATTACTTCAGCTACAACTGATGTCTTGGTCAAGTGCCTACTGAATAAAAACTACATAGACATTACAGGACGACTGAAGAGCAAAGCTGCTCTCACAGCATTGCACGGATTCTGCATGTTACTGGAGTTGCTCTGCTCTGTATCATTGCTAGGGAAGAATTAAAGTTATTTGTGTGAAAGGCAAAAAGTAGGGTAGGCCAGGGTGTCATTCCTGTGTCCATGTAACTTCACACACCTGAATAGCACTTTTGACAAGTGGGCATCTTAAAGAGCTAAAAGTTAAGACTACATAGAAGCGTATGGAGAAGCACAGTAAGAGGGGAAAATATCCTATCCTGGGGATCAGCCTAACATTACACTAGTACTGATCAGACCTACTCCTATGATCAGGAATACTTCAACAGATTACATTTTTATAAAATATAGGGCTAAATGAGGCATTCTCTATATTTTGTATTATAAAAAGCTTCCATTTCCATAATTTTTAAAATATATCTTCACTGCTAATCATATATTTGCAATATAGTATCTGATATAATAAAAATATATGCTTACTGGATGGGAGCGATGTAGCACTACTGCAGGGACCCTCCTTTGTGCTTTTGAGCAGCTGGAAAAGTTGGCTGTTCCCCTCCTTCCCTTGGTTTCTGAGCCATAAATCTGGGTACAGCAGCAGCATGCTGGTGTGTCAGCTTTAAGAGTCTTCTGCAAAGCAGGCTCTGACATGTTCCTCAGCTGCCAAATAATCTACTGGGCAAAATTCAACCACGATTCTTGCTGTTTACTACTTAGAAAACCCAGCTCCCCAATCCAACGCTTATCTGGCATTAGAAAGTGAAAAGGACCTGTGCAATTCATGCAATTGCCTTGTAGGATAAAAGATTCTTCTACAGAAGATGTTAAACTACCCAACAGGACATACGGGCCTGGCAGTGGATTCTGAGACTAACAGCAATTACGTTGATCCCAATTAAACTTAGAGGGCACTTGATGTGGAAACACAGCTGAATTATCTGGGCCCCTTCCTGCACTAAGAAAACTGGAAAGCTTATATAAATCTGTAAAGTAGGCCATGCTATACTGTAACATCCAATGGAAAAATACATTCAAATGATGAACCTAGGAAGTGTGTGCCAAACTACACCAAAAGGACCATAGAACATAACCATGGCGCTGCTGAGATGCACTCTAGAGAATCACTTTTTGTTCCACTACGTGCTGGACTGCAGAAGGTGGCCGGTACCAGTGCAGGTATTCATCTCCCTGTACCAGCCCTTATAAACTTGCCTGGTCTTGCAAGAACTTCCCATCATTGAACAGAATTTGTTCTGTATGATATTTATATGTGCAACACATGCTTATTTTTTTCTGGCCCACCCTGATGAAGACGATGATTCTCTGGTTAAATGTGGTCAGAAAAATCTCCACAGAACGGCATGTGGCACCAGTGCATGTGAGAGGAGAAGCAGGATCTCTGCAGAAATGGGGATATTGGCCACATGGGCTCTCTGCTTAATGTCCTAGGTACATACATTGTTCTTTTTTTTCTACAGACTGCCTTAGTAGATTTTACTTTTGTCAAAGCAGATTAATGGCAAGGCATCCATAAAACAATTTGCCCTATGGTAGTATAGACTGAGATTTTCGCTTGCAATAGATTGCTGGGTAAGCTATTGGCATGTGCTATCATAGGTGATCAAGCTTGCTAGATTAAAAGCAGGACTTGTGCCTAGCAAACAACACTGTGGATTACTCATTGAACTTCGAGCAGCAGTTCTCTCTTGTCAGGGTTTATTAAAATATTCACATGCTTCCAAAATGAAACAAAGGTCCACCGGTGTCTCCTGGGGAGAAGAGGTGGGATCGGTTGCATTCAGTTCCCATTTGGTTGGACATGTCATACAAAATCCTCACACACTGAACATGGCTCAACTGTAAAAAGCTTTCACCCGAAGGGAGATCTCTGTTACACAGAAAGTCTGTGACTCCTCCAGCGCTCAGCCGGCAGCGTTACATCACGTTCTCGAAGAGCTGTAAGGACCGCATGATATTGTCATCCTGAAAACAACGAGAACACACTTTTACAAAGGCAGCATGGACAAAAGTGACTTGTAACTTTGCATGACACGGGGGAGCTCTGCAGGTGCAACTGCAGGCAACAGTCTTGCTTTCATAATGCTTTCCATCCTCTGGATGCGCTGGAATTGATGCAGTGATCAGGTCCTGATTCAGCAAAACAGCTGTTTCTGAGACCTTGGTCAGTTTGAAGCACGCAAACACAGGATCTTCTCAGATGCTTGATGAAGAAAAGCAGAACTAGCACTGAGCTTGTGACTGTACTGAGCACTCCAGTGCCCAGCTGCATTTCATGGACCCTGGATTTACAAATATGTACATAGCCAATATGCTTCAGCAACCCAAACAGAACTGCAGGTTTGAGCTGATCAGCAGGCTGCCTTGCAGGACCAATTCACTCCGGAAATACAACCAGCTCAAACCCCAAATAGAGGGAATCTCAGCTTCTCTGAGGTTCCTAGATCCAAATAACAAAGCTGGGAGACACACAAGGGAAACGTCAGACTGTTTCTTATTAGGCCTCGAAATTGTACTTTGAGAGAATAACCAGACTAATACTCAAAATCATAAATGATGATTCCCCATGCTCATGAGAATTAAATTATTCCAAAAGTTAAAGTAACTGCTTACCTGTGAAAATAATTTTCCACATTGAGCAACTTAAGAGCTCTATTGCAGCTCCTTCCTCTTATCTTATTGAGAGGCTGTGTCCATTTATCTCAGCTCTAACAGTTTGGTGGGCACTAGCACAAGACATCACCTTGCATGGGGAATCACTCAGCCTTTCTAAAGTAATGCAGGAGTTCACTGCTCATGAGCCATATCCTATGAGATGGCAGAGGTAAGCATTATAGTGCACTTGGTTTTGGGTTTCATAAAGCAAAACCAGTAGGGCTTGCTCCCACCTACCACGAACCCGCAGGTGACAGCGCATCAGTCTGCAGAACCCCTAGTGCAGGCGTGTCAACAGGAGCAGCCAGCTCTAGGGCAGAACATCAATCAAACTCTATCACAGCCAGAAGTAAAGCTGCTTCAGTACTGAGACCACTAAGCACACACACGTACATGCAGGTAAGTTAGGAATGTGAGTCACACACAACACAAATGATCAAATTAAATACAGAGAAAAAAGAAGGCAAACAATCAGGAGGGACCAAGAATGAAGAACATGAAAATAATTACCCTTATATTATGCATCTGCTAACAAGGATTTTGCCTCCTGAAGTCCCTGACTAAGAAGCAATTTGGATGTTGCCAGAGCCAGGCTAAACACAGAAGCAGCAGGAAGCCAGCCTAGCCCTCCACAGTGAGCGTTTGCCCATTGCTCAGGTACAGGAGAGCTGTCTGACTGCAGAGCAGGGAAGATCTTTCCAGGGAGACTAACATACACAGGAGGCTGGTCTGTAATTCCTTGCACCAATGGAAACTTTCCAAAATGCAGAGGCCATCATTGTACTGATTAAATATTGGAGTCATCTCTAAGCAAACATTCACACAGTTAATTACAGTCTAAGACAACAGACACTTGGCCCATTGCATGTTAATGCAGATGTTTGTCTTTGTGACACTGCTAAAACACACACCTTACATAAAGAAATAAAGCACTGTGCTGAGGTGCTGGCACAGGGTGCCCAGGGAAGCTGTGGCTGCCCCATCCCTGGCAGTGTTCAAGGCCAGGTTGGACACAGGGGCTTGGAGCAAGCTGCTCTAGTGGAAGGTGTCCCTGCCCGTGGCAGGGGCTGGAGCTGGAGGACCTTTAAGGCCCATTCCAACACAAACCAGGCTGGGATTCTATGATACTAGCAAATATTTATTACAGCCAACCCAGTGTATGGAATTTACAAAAGAGTTTATTGCCAAAACAGAAAAATAAATTAAAACTGTTGCTGTGATTACAGCATTTGCTCTGAATGGTTGTCCATGAAAACATCAAGTGGTTTTAGAAGCCAGCGCTGCAATTAGAAGCTTTTGAGAGACCTTCAGCTCTGGGCAGTTCCAGCAATACGGTGTCTGCTAATGTCACCCAGGGGCAGCACACAGAGACAGTATCAGCCTCTTGACAAAACCAGCCCCCCACCCATGGAAGGGAAAAGGAAAAAGACAAGGAGAAGACCTACGGGAGTTTCAGGGTGGTGGGAGCTTTTTCTGCAGTTATCTGCTTTTCTACATGACCAGGTGCTGCAGCTCACTCAGGAAAATAAAAGGTTTCACAGAGCACCACCAGAAACTCCATTCTGAAGCTGCTTTTTTTCAGCAAGCAAAGGAAACCTGGGATCCCGAGCAGGATCTTGTAAATGCTGGGGCATGGGCTTGACCTGTCATTGCAGTTATGATGTTGTCCTTACCTCCTGACACGATTCAATAAACTCATCTAAAGTTACAACACCATCTTTGTTTTTATCCATTTTCTGCAAAATAAAAGAAAATAAATAATTGTTTCCATAGCTAGCACTGCAGTTATAGTACAAAATCTGACTTGATGCAGCCTGGTTAAACCCGAGGCACTTTATGAGCCTAGGTTACGGACTCTGTCATTGATTAAATTTGCCAAACGCTAAGGACTTGTTTACTCTGGCAGTTGGAGCACTTCTGAGGTCTCCAACTATTCCTTCATTGACATACACAGCAACCTCTGCCATTATTATGCCATTTATTTACTCACTGCCTCAACAAACAGCACCCATAGTCCTGTCTCACTTTACGGGCAGTTGAGAGAAGTACAGAAGTGCTGCAACACATGCATGGCCTTCAGACATGCTGGATATGACACATCCCAAAGCAAAGGGTTGGGCTAAGAGACACATGAGATGCCTATGGAGCCAGGAAATCAGCAGACACTGTAGTGTCAGGCTGAATGGATGCTAGTGTTTATTTCTGAATATATAGTGGGGCCTAGGATTGAACTTGGGGCTAACTTTATTGTAGAGTATATCAGTGCATGGTTCAAACGTTAAGAAAAAAACATCAAAAATCAAGTACCTGGAAGAATACTTCTACATGCTGCCTTGGTGCATCTTCCTTGAGCACTGGGTAGGTGTACTTTCCCATCATATCATAAATTGCCTTTACAATATCTGTCATTTCCTGCAGTAGTGTCATGCCAGCAACAACACAAAAGGAAAGATAATAGAAATGATAGTATATTTTTACTTTTTACTGTTCTTTTCTCCACCTTCCTGCTCCTATTACAAACCAGCACAGAGAATGCCTGTACATGGGCATGAAGACAGATGTATCGTATACAAGTTCAGCTATAAAGAAGTGCTTCTTTCTGGCGGTGCCATGACTTGGCCATGGCCTTGCTGGAGGCTCCTGCAAGCATGGGCACACAAGCCCATGACCAGTGGCAGTAACTGCAGACCCTGCAGGTACACACACCAGTCTGACGAGACAGACCAACGTGTGTTTGCAAAATATCTGAGGTTCCCATGCTCAAACCCACGGCCCCACGCAGGGAACAAGCAATACCAGGGGAGAAGATAACACCACGTGACAACACAGGATTTGGGGGTGGCGTGACTGCATCCAGTTCTTCAACAGTATCTCCTAGAGCAACCATGAAACCTTTGTGCCTCAGTCACCAATAGCTACTGTCACCAGGTAGCCATAAGTTATATTTTGCTCCTGTCTAAAGCAATCTGTTAAAGCCACTATAATATAGGAAAATATGTCTACAAAATCATGCGTTATAAGATCACTGTGCGCTTAACTTGGACATAGATAAATGCTCAAATCCAGTTTGGTTTGCATTTAAACTAGCTGCATGTAAAATTAATTGTTCTCTGCAACAGAAACCAGTTGTTCCCCTTCAGCAGTCACCCTTGGTTGTCAGGAACAGCCTTACCTCCTTGTTTATGTAGCCATCCTTATTTATGTCGTACAGGTTAAATGTCCACCTTAGCTTTTCATGAGCAGTTCCCCGTAACAGAATGGACAATGCCATCACAAAATCCTGTTCGAGGCAGAGAGAGGTGTGAATGTCAAGAATATCTTTTTCTAGGTCACCTTCTTTATATAATGCCAGTCAAAAGACATATTTTTGGATATAGGTTATGGCTTTCAATCTCTTCTAACTCCCTTTCCCCAAAATGTGCCATCTCTGACTGAAATCAGTGGACATATCGCCCACTAAGATACCCCAAGTACTGTCACACTACTAAATGAGTATGTGGTAACCATTCAAACCAGTAAAACAAAGTACTCAACTGCAGCCAATGCAAAAGCCAAGCTTATGATATGGGTTAGGCAGCTTAGCAAGGCTGGAAGGGCAGGAAGACAGAATGGGTGCTGCAGCCTTAAGCTCTCCTAGTCCTGAAGAGAGGGTGTTGAAAACAGAAGGTGGGGGGGTTAAGAACAGTTCCAGTCCAAGGCAGGTGGACTTAGAGTCTAATGTTGAAGACAGGGGCTGCTCCAGCTCCTCAGACACAGTGTGCTCCATCCACACTGATCATGCCCTAAACACTGCATGGATGTAAGCATGGCAAAATATGTGTGGGGCTTTTTAAGGGTAGTGCCCTCTGCTCCAGTGGCCATTTCCCTGCTGCAAGGAGTCATCACTCCTGCCTGGTTAAACACAGCTGGACCCTGACTGAGGAAGTAGAAGCCGTTGCTTTCTTACCTCCAGATCTAGGGTGCTGGTGAAGAAAGGAAGAAAACCCATGATTTTTTAACATGCCCATCTTGAGAGAGGTGGAGAGAACCCAAACTCCTCTAACACAGAGAGCCACAGGTTTTGTTCTCTGGCAAAATCTCTCAGACATGACCAGATACAATTCCCACCACTTGACTCAGGCTGGGACACAGCATTTGAATTGTATTTTCTTGTTTACAGCAAAGTTATCGCTTCCAAGGTTTACTGTTCATACTGCATGGTAGCTCAGGCACTGCAAGCAGCATTGCTATGGGGATTTGTTGGCACAGGCAGAGCTTCAAGCTAACAGAGCTTTACAGTTCCTGATACCTCGTTTAATGCACTGGATCTGCCTATGTTCTCTCCATTAGCATGAGGCAGTGCATCGCTCAGAAACCTTTGCTCCTTTTTACCAAGGCTCAAATTTGCTGAACAGTACAAAAAGTACAAACATGCTGATGCCTGACAACCACTAAAGAGACAGGTTTGCCAGGAAGGAAAGCTCAGCAAGCTTTTTAAATACTTATCTAAGCATTTTCCCCGTGTCTCAGTCTGTTCAGGTTTCTGGAAGATTCTAACTACTGAGTAGCTGCCATATGCAAAACTCCCACTGCAGCCATCTCTACAGAGACCCACATATACATATGATAACATTCCCATTTCACATTTGACAAATGAACAGAGTTCCCAGTGTTACCTGGAAATGACCAGAGTTCTTGGCCATTTGGCAGCAAAGGCAAGACTGCCTGTGATTGCTGGTTTTATAATCACAGTAAACTCGCTTCAAATCTATGAAATTCATCCTTTACAGGTCTGTGGCTTTGCTGCACTCCTACAACTGTGTGTGTGAGCTTGAAGTACAGCTGTTTGTAGTCACAGCAACAGGCCTTTTAGTTAAAGGTTTATAGCTTCCATTTGGTACCAAGTATCTGAAAGGCTTGCTCAATATATCAAATAACCTTAAAACAACCCGTATTCCAGGAATATACAAATATGACAGTTCAGACATGCAATGTGTGATGACTGCACAAGATACAAGATGTACTGGCTTTTCTTTGGTATCCAAATTCTCTGTGCAACTCCATCTGCATAGAGTAAAGTGAACCAGAATTTAAAATATCAACTGATTTTAGACTGAAACCTCTCCTGCATAATCCAATGACTCCTACTAGTTTACAATGAAGAATGGATGGAAAAGCTTAAAAATACAAAATGGAGAAAGGGGCATAAAAGGAGTATGCAAAACAATTACCTCAAACTTCACTGAGCCATTTTGTGCAGTGTCAAAAGCATTAAAGAGATAATGTGCATACATGCTAGCATCTGAAAAACACAAAGGGCACTCGTTGGTACAACAGTTCACTGTAACACATTATGAGGGGTCTAAACAACATTCCTTTTGCATAAAAACCAACCTTGTAGCAATACCAGATATCCTATCAACCAGTAAATGTTAGCATGGACTTGCATAATCCCCATGCCCTACATTAAGACAGCCTTGAAATGTAAGAGCGTTTATGACAGTAGAAACAATCTGGATTATGGGGCTGGACCTGAAATAATGAGTTAAAAAAACAAACCAAACCAAACCATCCAAGAATATCGCTGTGGCAAATGGAGCAGCAGCACTGGTCAGAAGTACAGCAGAAGTATCAAAGAGTGATTCCAGTGTGTGTGCTGCCTTCCTCTGCCTTCCTGCTTTGTGTAGAGAAGATCCCCAGGGACTGTCCAACTTCGGAAGGGTCTAGTTCCACTACCTTGAGTTTGGACCATGAGTAACAAAAAGCAATCTTATCTGAGGTATAGTTTTGTCTTTTTGAATATTCAACTGCTGATTTTAGAGAGTCCTTTCTATTACGAAGAACAGTTTCTATGTCCACGTGAAGGATGGCTGTTAAAGGGGAAAAATCAGTAATGGGAGGCAGAAAAGAACCAAAGAGGTGTATGACTGTAAGACCTTCCTTGGCCTGTTCTCTGCTCTGGAGGCAATTCACACTGATCTCCTTAGTATTAGAGCCCAACTACTCAAGATGGAAGCAACTGACATTAAATGCCCTTGATTATTTCATTGCCATTCTAGGTGCCACACATTTTTTGCCTCTTCTATTCTTTGCTTCTAGCACACAGCATTATTCAAGCCTGAGTCTCCCTATTCAGTGTATGGGCATTGAGGTGAAGCCTGGTGCCCTGTGCTAGGTGGGCAGGCAGGCAATATGACTTAGCATGTCCTTATTGTGATCTCTGTGAAATGATCAAATAGTTTTACATTATTCAAATCCAGGAAAGTGTAACAGTAGGCAGAAAAATCAAATACTTCAGTTACTGTCCCCTGTAAGGACAGAATACGCTGCCCTGCAAAGAATACTCTCCTACATTTTTTGAGAAGGATTCTGAAATAACACCTTCAGAATTAAAACACTTATGGGACAGTCCTAAAAGCTCCCACTAAGCTAAACAGTGACCTAAAAACATTAAACTAGATGCTTATTTTCAACAGGGTATAATATAATACTAAATTCCTAGTATTACTTGATGCCTGGTTAGCAAAAATGAAAACCTGTCAAGGATAGGAGCCCTATGTAACAAATCCATCACAAGCCTGGGAAGAGGCTGCACAACGTTTCTATAACCCAGAGGTGCTTCACTCCCTCTGGGATGTACAAGTTTACCAGCACAGAGCCCTACAGAGAGCCACAGTGAAAGGATCTCTGAGGCATCTGAACTCTCACCATTTATGACACTAAAGTTACACAGTTTGGAAACCAAGTGAAAGAAAACAGTACAAAATACGAAACGGCCTGCTGCCAAACTGACATATTGTTAAGCAGGATTGAACTACCATCATCATTAAGGGAGGGTCAGAGCTCAAGGGAATGGAACACCAGAAAAGGGGTGAGGGTCTGTCAGGCTCAGGAGAGGTGGGAAAAGTTGTCTGTCCATGAAAAGATGAAGTATCTGTGCCTGCCTGATTTTCACACACAGGAAGGCAGAAGTCAGCCGAGGTGTGTCACAAAGGAGGCAGTACAGTTACTTGGGGCAAACTGAAAACACAAAATATATGTATAAATAAATTCAGACCATACTGAAATTTAATGTAAACTTTTCATAGGTGTGCATCTTTGAGGCCACATACATTGTGAAGCATAGATATAACATGGTTTGTCTTGAAATGTAGTTGAAAAAACACTTGTTAATGGCTTTCTGAAGGTACATGCACATGCACACATAGGCTTTTGTAGAAACTTCAGCCATTATTCCACAATGAGTGCATTCTGCAGCTACTATAGAGTGGAATACAGAATCATAGGATCATTGAGATTGGTAAAGTCCTTTAAGATCATCAAGTCCAACCATTAACCCAGCACTCCCAAGTCCACCACTAATGCATGTCCCTCAGTGCTACACCTACACGTCTTTTAAACACCTCCAGGGATGGTGACTGCACCACTGCCCTGTGCAGCCTGTTCAGTGCCTGACAGCCCTTCTGGTAAACGTGTTTTTCCCAGTATCCAGTCTAAACCTCCCCTGGTGCAGCTTGAGGCCATTTCCTCTTGTCCTATTGCTTGTTTCTTGGGAGAAGAGACCGAGCCCACCTTACTACAACCTCCTATCAGGCAGTTGCAGAGAGTGATAAGGTCCCCCCTGAGCTTCTTTTTCTCCAGGCAAAACATGTATTTGGAAAAGCCTCAAATACTGAATCTTTTACTGAAAAGCCACTTAAACCCATGCCTCATTCCTTTCAGTTTGAGACCAGCACCCCACAGAACACATTCAGTTAGAACAACATAGAGATTATTGATGTCTTTCAAAGGTAAGCATATGTTGAGAGGTTTAATACAACACTTTGATATTCCAGTACATTCCATCACCCTGTTCTTAGTCACACAAACACTAAAGTGATCATTTCAGGTAGCTAGAAGTTCACACATCAACTAAGAACTGCTTTAAGAATGTTGGGAAGGTTTTGATTAATTTGCAGGCCAAAATGAGGGCTGGGATTCTCCTGTGCTAGATACTACATGCACAGCAATCCACAGCACACACAGAGGGGAAGTGATTTAGCTTTCTGCCGTCTAGAAAGTCAGTACAAAACACCCCATCAATCCCGTTTCCATCTGGGACTTAGGGAACAAAGAGCTGACAACTAAGGGCAATCTTTAATGTGGATTTGTCCATTCCTGTGAAATAACTGTTCAACTGCACTAAGTAATTTTATGACCTTGATGTTTGTGCTTCTGTTTAGGATCCTGCAAAGGTGAAGCTCAATCCACATTTCTTACACAGATTACCTGAAGGAGTTTTGCAGCCAGCTGGCAGTAATGAATGTTAAGGCATGCTTCAAGAAACCTGCCAGATGCAAAGTACTCTGCTTACCTCCATGAGGAAAAAACTGTGCATAGATCTGTTTAAATGCCTCTTCATTAACAACCCCACTAGGACATTCCTGTTGGAAAAACAAAAAGAAGAACAAATATCAAGCAAAAAAAACAACCCCAACACTGTAAAGGTTCATTTGCAAAACTCTGCAAGCCCAAAGAGAGCAATTAAACAAACGACACTGCTGTTCTCCCAGGGCTCTGGGCATGCAGGCTGTGCAGCTGGAGACATTAAAATCATTCCGAGTGCAGCTTCATCTCATGCTCTTGTTTCACCATTATTAACATTTCTTAGCAGTATTTTCAGCAGTGTTTAATCGCTGCTCTATAGGACAACCAGGAAAGGCACCTCATGCCTTCCGTCAGGTGAAACTTCCATCATATAATTACAGATAATGTTAGGGCCAGCTAACAGTGCATGGTCTGATACCTCCACCTATATGAATTCATTAATCATAGAATGGTTTGGGTTGGAAAGCACCTCAAGATCATCCAGTTCCGACCTCACCCTAGATCATGTTGCCCAAGGCTCTGTCCAACCTCAATAATTGTCAGTCGTCAGTGGGAGGCTGTATCCAGAAATGTGACACCAGCTCCATGGAGGCTAATGGTATGGACTATACTGGTAAGTCCATATGAAGAAGCATCAGTATTAGGCTGATAAACATTAGACCATTCTTAACCTGTTTATCCACTCAGTCTTCCATAAACTTCTGAGAAGCCAGACTGTGCCCACGCACATTTTGTAACCTGTGGGGTTATTTAAGCTCTGGCACTGGAATGCAGAGCACTGCATTTCACTTGTGGCTGCTTCAAATGAGGGCAAACTCTTAAGAAAAGGGTGGCAGATTTTCTGTCCTGAACTTCCTGACCTACTAAGTAAGTAGCCCCATGGGGAAGGGAAAAGGGGATTGATGTCCGGAGGGCTCACACTTGCTCTACCTTCAGCCAAGCAAAATCCAGGTTGTTACCTCATTACCTCTGTTCAGACTGAGACGTTGGGGTAGCACAAATAAGCTTGGGGATGAACATAAATGAGTTTGAGAGAGCACAGTGCTGCTCAGCCCCTATATTACATCTATAATGCCGATGGTAGCATTACAGGTTGTTGAATCTGAGATGAGTAAACTTAGGAAGTCTAAGAAAATCCCTTTGAATTTTTGACATAAAAAGCTGGAGGATGATTCAAGTCTATGACTTATTTATGGATGAGTTCTTTAGATACCTTTTAAGAACAAAAAGGACTTTGATAAGAAATTCTTCAACTATGAAAAGCCTATAAAGGAAAAGCAGCATTTTTCCAGCCTCTGATCTGCCAGTATCACCTGCTGCTGTGCATTCCAACCATGGAAAAGGACAGAACAAACAAGTGAAATCACTTTATACTGTGCACGTCAAGGAAGGAGAGCAAGGAGGGGTACTTCAGGTGAAAATGAGGCAGTTCCTTAATCACATACCTGTTTGCTATTGAATTAGGGTGATTAGGTTGGAGTTCCTTGCTCCACTGCAGAAATCCTGTGGTATCCTACCCACTATGTAGGTAAAATCCATCAGTGATCTGAGAAGATTTGAGCTAAATAAAAGATAATTTGTTGCTTGAAAATCCCTGAAATGATCTTTTTCTCTGCATCTGCATGTCCTGACAAGTGCCCTCCCACTGGTTATGTTGAAGTGTCCCAAAGCTGGCACTGTAGCCTTCACCTGGCTGGGGCCATCCCTTCTCCAGCAGCACTGCTCAAGGCCTGTTTCACAGCAAGGGGATAAAAGGACCAATTGGATTAGCTACAGAGGGGGCTGCAAGGGCTGAGCCTTGTGTTTTCATTTACAGACAAAGCTGACAAAAATTCCTGTTTAGATGAATATCCTCAAAATATGCCAAAGCTCCTACTAAAGCAGCCAGTGCCTGTTCTCTTTGTCACGAGAAAAGTGGTTACTGCTCCGTCTGCCTGTGCCACATCTAATGAGCTACGAATCATTAAAAGAAGAAGAATTAATTGAATATAACAGCTAAAATAAAAATGTTCTTCTGAAGTTCACATTTCTTAAAGCTTGTAATTTAATGTAAATGAAATAATCACCTATTTATTTATGGTAGCTTGTGACCATCAGTCAGACCACCTACCGGGTAACTGGAGTGCTGCTGTTCCACGACTTACACTGGGCCCTTGCACAGCTGTAGAGTATTTGACCAAATTGTCATTCTTTTTAAAATGAAGCCTAGCACAGCATTTAACCTTCCTTTCCATCGTAGTGCTACTGGCCCGAGTAGTGCTGCCCCAAGTGAAGATGCAGCTCTTTCTCTATTCTTGATAAATACAACTATATATTCACTAAGAAGCATCGTTTTGCATGCTTAAGGCTAGTGTACACATGTTTGGGCTCATTCTTTTCTATATACTTTCCACAGTTGTAGAGTCCATTGGGCCTCTTCCACACTATATTAAAGCCTGTGTTTGCCAAGAGCCCCAACCCAGCACCATCCACCCTGAGGATGAAGCTGAAGCCTGTGAAGGGCAGGTTGGTGCTGCACACGCTGCCCTTGCAGAGGCAGGGTTTTCTGTGGCAGTTTCAGCCATTATGCATCATTGAACTGTCTCAATTTCCACACGATCCTTTTGCTTCTGATGCTCCATCTGGAAGCCAAATGAAACGTTTGCAGCAAGCCTCCAGGAGTGCTGGGCAGAGGCAGCGCCGACATTGATCAGCCTGCTTAGCTCAGTGTAACTGGATTGCTTTCAGACACATATGCCTGTTCCAATTCATTTGCACTTAATTGATCACAATTTTGCTTTTCTAAGAGCCAAATAATGCTCAAGTGGCCTCATTAGTGCTCCAGTACTACTGAATTCAGCTGACTCGCAAGAAATCTGTTATGAAAGGAGCAGGTAAGCTGAGTGTCAGTTTGAGTTCCACTGATGCTGACAAAGCCTTACTCATTCACGAAAACGTTCTTGGCAGTATGGAAAAGCACAGTGCCTCACCATAACAGTCTGCCTCCAGTGGCAGGGAATTAGATTCAGGCAAACACCTTGCATTGCTATAACCTACGAACTACCTACCTTAAAACAAGAACAGTGTTCCACAGTTTTGGGATTGCTAAGCACGGAACCAACCCCTCATCTTCAACAAACACTGGCACTGGCAGCATGAGTCATGCCTTTGAATCTACCCTCTTGGAACTCTTAACTCTTTCCAAACAGGAAACCACAAAGGAGCTGAATCCACGTTAAAAATAGAACCTCCCAGCACAAAACAACCCGAAAAGGAAATCAAAGAGAAGGTCACTTGCTGTTCTTTCTCCTGCTGGAATCAGAAATGAGCTTCATCAATTGCTTCCAAAGATGAGCAACGTGCACAAGCAGGGATCAGCAGCAAAACTGAAATGGGGCTGAACATAACCTGCTCACCTGGCTGTTCTCACCAGAACAAAGAGGAGCACCCAGGGGACTGATCTCCCCCCTCTTGTTCCATAACTGCTCCCTAAACTTTACTCCTGTGGGGAGCAGAAACTTCCTTCTCCTGCCAGCCTATGCCTGGTCATGTCCATTTTGTTCCTGTGCCAATACTGCCTTTTAGCTCAAACAGTGCTCTCTCCGGATGTATTTATAGACAGCAGGTAACACATTCTATTTTGTTGAGCTAAACCAAGGCAAGATCCACCAAAGGTTGTGCTGGGTTTTGCTGTCTCTCTTGCTTTGCTTGTGCAGAACCACAGCCAAAGAAATGAGTCCAAACACCTTAACCTGGCTCCAGTATGACAGCAGCTATCTGCAAGGTGCGAAACAGACTATTGCACAAATTGCACCCTGGGGGCAGAGATAACTGCAAAGATAAACATGAACTTTTGGTCCTGGTATCAAGAGATGTTGGAGGACATCTCACAACATTCCCTTTCACAACTGGAAAAGAAAGCTGATAGCAAAGAGAGAGGGAACACTTCCCTCTTGTCCAGGCAGCAAGCACACCAGCTTGAAGTGGGAAAGGATTTGTATTCAGTGGAAGTCACCATCAATATGGTGCAGAAACACCAGACCTGACCAGTGACACACTGGGAAGATTTTGAGGGCATAGGGAAACAGATTTGAGAGATGAAGTAAGAACAGGAATTAAAGCACTGAGAATTAGTGCCTAGAGGGTGCCCCAGGCTGTGCCGAACTGCCTTTGGTCAAACACCATCAAATCTATGTTCATGAGCATCAAACCTTCAACTCCTGTGACTGCAGCAGGGTTGAGCAGGGCCACATTCTCCCCTGTGCCTGTAAATGGCTCTGGGATTATCCAGGTGTTGCCTCATGATTAAACAGGACCTGTGCAGTCACCATGAGAAAGCCAGAGAAAAAAAAATGGCTGTATTCCCACAGGGATCTTGAATCTCCAGATGGCACTGTAACATCATCCCAAAAAGCAGATGGTTTGGTACAACAGCTGAGTCAGTTTGCCTGCTGTAAATAATTACTCACCCCATTGAAACCATAATTTACATGCTACAAATGCTAAAGCCACCCTTTCATGTCAATTTAAACCTTAGATATTAAAGCTTCATGCATATCATGTAGTAGCAGCTGGAGAAAACCAGACTGTTTGTCCTAGCAACCTGATATAAAACATCATCTTGTCAGCACTGCCTATTAATACCAAGACCTTCAGTGAGGTTTAGGAAAGGGGTTAGGTCATAAGTTAAATGCACTTGTCTATCACTCTTGCCCTGGGAGGTAATGCCTCTATACTGCAAAGTGATAGCAGAACTGAGAGGGGCAAGGGGTAAATATCATGGGTACTGAGAGCTGCAGAGCCAGCTCCTCCTGCCAGCACGGAGCACAGCAATCCAGCACGGGTCTCCCACCAAACAGCAGTACGGGAGGCACTTTGGAGATCTTAGCTAAACACAGCAGTTCAGAGCTCTCACTGCAGGCAGCTGTGTCACATCGGATGTCTGTTAGCCTGTCAAGCTGTCTCAAAAGCCAAATGATTTCTCGCTGACTGCCCAAAGCATGAAGACGTTTCAGGTATCGGTCTACAGTGGCTACAAAACTTCACACGCGGAATGAGCTCCTACGTGCAGCAAAGGCTGTACAAATACAAGACACGCACCAAAAAGAGAAGTACAGAAAGCTGAGTTGTGCCTTGTCCTGCTCAGGTGAGCGGTGAAATAAAGGCTGAAACCACCGGACTCCTGGGGGAAATCAAACGTATTTTGGTGATGTGATTCAAGGTAACTCCAAGAGCCTGTCAGAGAGAAAGGCCCCTCTCAATATCCAGCAGGTTTCTCTCAACACTTGCAGCTCAGCTTTCTTTTGGGAAGCTTTTACCCAATGGATTTGTTTTTCTGAGAGAAACGGCAGGATTTCACTGGGGCAGCAGCTGAAATGCTGGAGCTGTCCTGCAAGACGACTGAAACCCACCCCGTGTTTATTGAGCTTAATACTGATCTATTCATCATCATAAAAACATCACCTGGCACGAACCACCTGGGTGACTAAACCCAGACCCGCAGGCAACCATGTAATGAGTATTCATTCTTCAAGGGGCATAAAGCATCTGCTCCACGCAGCCTCAAAATTCCCTGTTTCTATTTATTATGACAAGTCCCTAAGAGGCAGCAGCAGGTGAGCTGGAAGCTGAGGCTCAGGGAGCTCCAGCCTCCCCGCTACCAGGGAGGATATGGCTGGTGGTTGACAAAGGCGAGGGCAGCGCCGCTCTGCCTACACAGACATGCCAGCTGGCATGGCTCCTGCTCTCACCTCAGTCTGTGGCCTCTTTCTTGTCTCCTCGGTCTTGATACCTTTTTACTTTTAATTTCTTTTTGGCTCCTGCCACTTCAGCTTAATCTGTTTGCACAGGAACTTATAGTCCTAGTGTGCTCTATTACATCATGCTGAAAGAGCAAGATTTCTGTAGCCAGAGAAAGGACACAAGCTAATAGCAAGCAAGCAGTACTGCTCATATTTGAACATGGGGAAGACAGCAAGAATTAAATAAGTACCCATGAAACATTTTCAGGTTATCTTGAAGTAGTGGCACAGTTGGGGAAATTGCAGTGTGCTTCCTGACATTTGGGCAACAAATTGAAGGAGAATATTATATGCTGAGTATTCACCCAAACCCAGTTTTAGGCAGATTATGGTGTCATAAATATTAGATGAAGTGGCAGATTGTGCTCATTTTGCTGTGGTAGGGGACATCTAGCACAAAACTGCAAATGTTTCACAGGGGAACGGCACATAATGCAGCTGAGCAGGGGAGGCTGGGGGGGACATACATACTGGACTCGGTTCTCTGCAGGATCATTCTTACATTTTTAAATCCTCTGTAAAGCACTTGAAGTTCTCTTTTAGTGAAGTTGGTTTGTGCTTCAAGCTGTTCCAGTCCTTCAGGTCTATGGCACACTGTAGTCATTTCTAATTCATCTTCAATTTTATCTGGAAGAGAAGACAGGAAAATATTTAGTTTGGTTGTTACCTTTGCTCTATTAACATGATGGATAGGACAGCCTGGAGTTCAAGAGCAACAGAGAGTAAAAGAAACCATCAACAGAACAGATCTCTATAACTGTTTTCAATCTCTTGAAAGCAAAATAAAAGTCGTATGAGTAAAGCAAAAGTTCACATTTTACAAGGCTGCCAATTGGCTCCCCATCTACAAAGCCAAAACTGGTGGTGAGAACAGAAGGGCAGGCAGCAGATATGTTGCTCCAAAAGGCAACGCCAGGTATTTCTTATCTAAATATTGAAACAGCGTGGAAGAATAGGCCTTTCAAAGTACCAGCTTTGAAAAAAGCTGTGCAAATACAAGTGAGAGAGCAGACGTGCTTAAGCATATTAGGCAACGGCATTATACTGAGGGTAAACAGTGAGGGAAGCTCTTCTGTTAACCAAAAAGCTTGCTATAGAGACACTAAAGGTCACCTTAATCCTAGGAGAAATTCAGACGATGTCCACAGTTGCTGAGTCTGGGATGAAACCAGCCTGCATTTGCGTGGATTTTTGGGGGAAGCAGATAAGAAATGAAAGATTCTGATACGCATTTTATTCAAGTGGATATCCTCACAAGGAAGAAAGATACCGACCTCCTGTATTGCTGTAATCTCACCTCTATTCTGATGCATGCTTTTACTTGTCAAGCCCATTTCCCCAGAAGGGTAGGCAATGCCCAAATATACACAGATGCTTAATGTGTGTCGTTTTGAGATTCTCTAAGCTTCGAGGATCAGATGCAGTTTTCAGGTGACATGAAAATCCCATCTACATCCAAAAGTGGCCTGGCATAAACCCCAACACCCCCCTTGTTATCAAACCAGCACAATTTATGCCCTGAACAAGTGTTTTAGATTATTGGGCTCAAGATACTACAGTAATTGCTGCTGAAAGACATGGATTTCACAAGAAACATGGAAGGAAATGGAGTCACTCTGAATGGGGGAAATGCACGAATTCAGAGCAGACTGGCTCAGTGAAAGAACAGGCCAGACTAAAGCTCCATTTTCATAAGTGAATTCTGTACATATATACGAATGTTATTAACGAAGGACACACATCACTGAGTGATAAAGGTTAATTCACATCAGTTCACACTTCCAGTATTAAGAGATCAGTTTGAAATCATGGTGTGTTCAGGCATCCTCCTAATCCACTGTGTCTGGAGCTTCACAGTCTGTGTTTGTGGGGCTTGAGCAGTGAAAATACATGCCTAAATACAGTGCTCAATGTCGCTTGCAAGGCAAGGAGATCAAGGAAAGAGGCTGTAACAGCATGGGGTAGAAGGGGAGTATCACAACCAGTTATGATGCAGAAAGCTTCCTGAGGTGGTAGGTGGCCAGAAGAGGCCTGAAGGAGCCACCTTCTCCTCACAAAGGGAAACTGAGAGTCTAGAGATTACAGCTCCTGTTAAAAAAAAAGAGATGGAAAAGGATGTCTGCTACAGGAAGAACAGATGTGGAATGGGAAATAAGGGGGGAAAGCCATTTTCTTTGAAGCACAACACATGCCACAAAATTAAGGAATGCAGAAGAAACTATATAGAGAGAAAAAAATGGGGAAGAAATTCCTTGAAATGAGGGAAGTGCAATGAGTGGCTGAAAAAAGGAGAGGAAATACATTTATAAGGGAGCCAGGTTACAGAGACTCAGAACTAATCCATACATTATATAGCAAATACTTCTTTTTTTACCTTTGGTTAACCGCAATTTACCTCAAACCTTTACAAAATGCAAGTAACACCTGGCTCCTCTCTTGCATGTTCCTGCTGTTCCCAATGCAATAAGCAGTTTACAAATGGCCTTGACGGTCACCTTGGTTTTCCCCGGCGAGCCATGCATTTTGTACTGTGCAGTATGTAAGCAAGTTACCTCCGAGCCTCTCTCTGCTCTTTAACCAGTTAAACACACCCAGCTTTTCACTGACATTTCCTACTGAGTCACTCGAGTTCTTTACAACTTCAGTCAATGGAAAAATCTAAGAGTAAAATACTGGCCATCTACTCTTTATATCCTATAATTCAGCGGGGAGGGGAAACCCAACAATCTATGCACTCTCAGGTAAGTGGTGAGGGTAATGGGGGAAGCCAGCCTGTTGGAATACTCTTAGGCTTGGTTTTATTTACCCTTACAGCATGGAGTTTCACGTGGTTTGTACAGAGGCAGGAAAGATCCAGCTGAGAAAAGTCACACTCTTTGCAAAAGCATTTTGATGTAACCGACTGGTTTTGGTGGGTCTTTAATTTCCCATATACTTTCCTCACCTCCTTAAGCAACCAGTGTTAGTACCCCTATATCAACCTGAACTTCCCTTGTTTTGAGTTTGAACATTACCCCTTGTCCTATTGCTTGTCCTGCAAGGATAGGTTTCCGCAACACTCAGTTCACAAGCTTTGGTCCCACAGGGCAGATATTCCTATGTTAAAAATAAACCAGATGACTGTTGTAGATTTGATTCTATTTCCCATGCTGAGAAATGCGGCTCTTTTCTTTATAACAAACTGAGGAAAGGAAAGGATGAAAAATCCATCCCTTTTCAAAGGGATGCTCCAGTTTTTCCTTCCATTCCCCATTCCAGAGCCAGCATTAATCTCTGCCTCTGAAGAGAATCTGATGGTCCCCCATGGGTTAATCCTTTCATCTGCTTCCTCCTCCTTTCTCAAGGGAAGTATTTTGAAACTTAGCAATAAAAGGTGTGTGAAGCTTTAGCTCTGGCCCAGGGGACACTCAAAATGACACCACAGCAACAGGCTTCCAGGGAGCGCATCCTAAAAATGGTAGAAGCTTTTCCTTCGATGGAACATGCCCAGATACAACGGAGCAGACCTGGGCATTTTCTGGAGCACCACCTCAGAAAACAAGTACAAGAAAGGCTTATTAGGTCATTTTGTCTATCCCTTGCCAACAAAGAGCTGTTTTCCACCGTGTTTCATGATAATATTGGTCTTACAAGAGAAGACACTTTTCGGGAGTAACTACTTCACATTAATGGGCCTCACAGATCAAACAGTCCCTCCCCTGTGCTCAAAATATACCAACACTTTAACTTTTCTCAGCTGGCAGCCCACATTCCGAGATCCCCCTCCAGCAACACTCTGTTCATCCCTCCTCCCTCCCTGGCAAAAGCCTGCCCTGGGCACAGCACAGACCTGTATGGGCACAAACTGCTCTTCCAAGCAAATCGATCATTTCCAACTCAATAGTCCCCACCTCCCACAAAGATTTCTTTGTCAATATTTGTTTCCTTTCAGTGTTTTCTCTTGACTCAGGTCTTTAAAACCCTTTTTTTCCACTCTCATATACCCTATAAATTAACCACAGTGACAAACCCCCAGATCCTGTCACCTCCTCATCTGCTCTTGCCTTTTGTCATGTATATTGTGTTTCCTCTTACTTCCATTGGCTTTGTTGCACTGGCTGGGTCCCTCCCAGCTCTCCAGGGATGTCACTGTGTGAAAGACAAGCCCTTGCATTTGTAAACACTGCAATTGCATTAAACTGAAGCTCACTTCATGGTGCTGAGTGCAAACAAAAGTGTATGCACATAGATCCACACATTTTTAATTAGGAAAGCATTGTGTGAAGATATTTTGCCTAATATCATATTCTTCCACGGTTTTGCCTTGTCTATGGCTTGCTGAGCACTCTGAGTGGTTTGAGGGTGGGAAATGGGCATGCCACTGGTTTCAAGTTCATTTTCTTCTTCAGTCTGCAAGCTCATGCAAAGCCCGAGGGAACGACACTGCCAGAGATGCCCATGGTGCCCTCCCCAGCTCAGGTGCCATGTGTCAGCAGCTGATGCTTACGGCATCCCTGTGGAGCTGGAACTCAGCCGTGCCCTGCTGGGGGGACACACTTGCCTCAGGGTCTGGGTACCACACACCTGGTTAGTGAGAGCTTGAACACTGGCAAATAGGTCCAAATTTACCATTCTGAACCTCAAAGCATGATTCTGTGCTCCCCAGTTGGGTGGACTCAGATTTCTCCTGCTTGCAGGTACTGATAAATGATAACTTTCTTCTTGGTTTTTTGTTTGTTTGTTTGTTTTTTAGCTTCAGCACTTGTTGCAATGGTCCCTGGATCAACCCCTTCCGCACCAGACAGTTGTAGTGAGTTGTGTCTTAGAATCATGGAGTCATAGAATGGTTTGTGTTGGAAGGGACCTTAAAGCCCATCCAGCTCCAACCCCTGCCACAGGCAGGGACACCTTCCACCAGAGCAGCTTGCTCCAAGCCCCTGTGTCCAACCTGGCCTTGAACACTGCCAGGGATGGGGCAGCCACAGCTTCTCTGGGCACCCTGTGCCAGCGCCTCAGCACCCTCACAGGGAAGAGCTTCTGCCTAAGAGCTCATCTCAGTCTCCCCTCTGGCAGGTTAAAGCCATTCCCCTTGGCCTGTCCCTACAGGCCCTTGTCCAAAGCCCCTCTCCAGGTTTCCTGCAGCCCCTTTAGGCACTGGAGCTGCTCTGAGGTCTCCCCTTCAGGAGCCTTCTCTTCTCCAGGCTGAACAAGGACTGGTGTAAGATCATCTGCACTGTTTAGCTGGTGCAGAACATGCCTGTGCACTTGCTCAGCTGTTTTTCTTGCAATGTGTTTAAAACTGTAAGAACAGAAAGCAGCACTTTCTGATTTAGAATTTGTCTCTGGCCATAGGTTTACGGCTGCTTTACTAGCAGGATATGAAGTGTGGGTCTGGGAGAAGCAGCTGTGTTAATCCTACTCCAAAATAGGTCCAGGTTGTAATAATGATGTAATTTTGCATGTTTACTGGGGGCAGAACTCCATCCCTGTTGGCTTAGCCCATAGGATAGGCACATTTTCTGTATCAGACAAAATAAATAGTGGCTTCACTTTGCAAAGAAAAATACTGCTGACATACTTGCATGTACGTGCATATTTTATAGATTGTTGGTAATGAAAGACACAGTTTCATTTCTCTGCTGCTTGCT